ATAGCAGGATATGTATCACTAAAGATAGCAGGATATGTATCACTGACCATAGAAGGATATATATCACTGAAGATAAAAGGATATGTATGACTGAAGATAACAGGATATATATCACTGAAGATAACAGGATATATATCACTAAAGATAACAGGATATGTATATTAAAGATAATCGGATATGTATCACTGTAGATAACAGGATATGTATCACTTAAGATAGCAGGATATGTATCACTGACCATAGAAGGATATATATCACTGAAGATAAAAGCATATGTATCACTGAAGATAACAGGATGATAACCGGATATCTATCACTGCAGATAACAGGATATGTATCACTGAAGATAACAGGATATGTATCACTAAAGATAGCAGGATATGTATCACTGACGATAGAAGGATATATATCACTGAAGATAAAAGGATATGTATCACTGAAGATAACAGGATATATATCACTGAAGATAACAGGATATGTATATTAAAGATAACCGGATATCTATCACTGCAGATAACAGGATATGTATATTAAAGATAACCGGATATGTGTCACTGCAAATAACAGGATATGTATCACTGAAGATAACAGGATATGTATCACTGAAAATAACAGGATATGTATATTAAAGATAACCGGATATCTATCACTGCAGATAACAGGATATGTATCACTGAAGATAGCGGGATATGTCTCACTGAAGATAGCAGGATATGTACCACTGAAGATAGCAGGATATGTATCACTGAAGATAGAGGGATATGTATCATTGTAGAAGGATATATATCACTGAAGATAAAAGGATATGTATCACTGAAGATAACAGGATATATATCACTGAATTTAGAAGGATATATATCCCTGGCGATAGAAGCATATGTATCACTGACGATAGAAGGATATGTATCATTGCAGATAGCGGGATATGTATCACTGAAGATAGAAGGATATTTATCACTGAAGATAGCGGGATATGTCTCACTGAAGATAGCAGGATATGTACCACTGAAGATAGCAGGATATGTATCACTGAAGATAACAGGATATGTACCACTGAAGATAGCAGGATATGTATCACTGAAGATAGCGGGATATGCATATTGAAGATAACCGGATATGTATCACCGAAGATAACAGAATATGTTTATTGAAGATAACCGGATATGTATATTGAAGATAACCGGATCTGTATCACTGCAGATAACAGGATATGTATCACTAAAGATAGCGGGATATGTATCACTGAAGATAGAAGGATATGTATCATTGCAGATAGCGGGATATGTATCACTGAAGATAGCGGGATATGTATACTGAAGATAACAGGATATGTATCACTGCAGATAACAGGATATGTATCAATGAAGATAGCGGGATATGTATCATTGCAGATAACAGGATATGTATTGTGAAAATAACCGGATATGTATCACTGCAGATAACAGGATATGTATATTGAAGATAACCGGATATGTATATTGAAGATAACCGGATCTGTATCACTGCAGATAACAGGATATGTATCACTGAAGATAGCGGGATATGCATATTGAAGATAACCGGATATGTATCACTGAAGATAACCGAATATGTTTATTGAAGATAACCGGACATGTATATTGAAGATAACCGGATATGTATCACTGCAAATAACAGGATATGTATCACTGAAGATAGCGGGATATGTCTCACTGAAGATAACAGGATATGTATCACTGAAGCGGACAGGATATGTATCACTGAAGATAACAGGATATGTATCACTGGGATATGTATCACTGAAGATAACAGGATATGTACCACTGAAGATAGCAGGATATGTATCACTGAAGATAACAGGATATGTATCACTTAAAATAACAGGATATGTATATTAAAGATAACCGATATGTATCACTGTAGATAACAGGATATGTATCACTAAAGATAGCGGGATATGTATCACTGAAGATAGAAGGATATTTATCACTGAAGATAGCGGGATATGTCTCACTGAAGATAACAGGATATGTATCACTGAAGCGGACAGGATATGTATCACTGAAGATAACAGGATATGTATCACTTAAAATAACAGGATATGTATATTAAAGATAACCGATATGTATCACTGTAGATAACAGGATATGTATCACTAAAGATAGCAGGATATGTATCACTGACGATAGAAGGATATATATCACTGAAGATAAAAGGATATGTATCACTGAAGATAACAGGATATATATCACTGAATTTAGAAGGATATATATCCCTGGCGATAGAAGCATATGTATCACTGACGATAGAAGGATATGTATCATTGCAGATAGCGGGATATGTATCACTGAAGATAGCGGGATATGTATCACTGAAGATAGCGTGATATGTCTCACTGAAGATAGCAGGATATGTATCACTGAAGATAACCGGATATGTATCACTGAAGATATCAGGATATGTATCACTGAAGATAGCGGGATATGTATCATTGCAGATAGCGGGATATGTATCACTGAAGATAGCAGGATATTTATCACTGAAGATAGCGGGATATGTCTCACTGAAGATAACAGGATATGTATCACTGAAGATAGCAGGATATGTATCACTGAAGATAGCAGGATATGTATCATTGCAGATAGCGGGATATGTATCACTGAAGATAGCGGGATATGTATCACTGCAGATATCAGGATATGTATACTGAAGATAACAGGATATGTATCACTGAAGATAGCGGGATATGTATACTGAAGATAACAGGATATGTATCACTGCAGATAGCAGGATATGTATCACTGAAGATAGCAGGATATGTACCACTGAAGATAGCAGGATGTGTATACTGAAGATAACAGGTTATGTATCACTGCAGATAGCAGGATGTGTATACTGAAGATAACAGGATATGCATCACTGAAGATAGCGGGATACATATCCCGCTATCTTCAGTGTTACATATCCTGTTATCTTAACATATCCTTCTATTTTCAGTGATACACATCCTGTTATCTTCAGTATGTATACTGAAGATAACAGGATACATATCCTGCTATCTGCAGGATATGTATACTGAAGATAACAGGTTATGTATCACTGCAGATAGCGGGATATGTATCAATGACGATAGAAGGATATGTATCACTGAAGAAAACAGGATATGTATCACTGCAGATAGCAGGATATGTATACTGAAGATAACAGGATGTGTATCACTGAAGATAGAAGGATATGTTAAGATAACAGGATATGTATACTGAAGATAGCAAAATATGTATCACTGCAGATAGCGGGATATGTATCACTGACGATAGAAGGATATGTATCACTGCAGATAGCGGGATATGTATCACTGAAGATAACAGGATATATATCACTGAATTTAGAAGGATATATATCACTGACGATAGAAGGATATGTATCACTGACGATAGAAGGATATGAAACACTAAAGATAGAAGGATATGTATCACTGAAGATAACAGGATATGTATCACTGAAGATAGCAGGATATGTATCACTGACGATAGAAGGATATGAATCACTAAAGATAGAAGGATATGTATCACTGAAGATAACAGGATATGTATCACTGACGATAGAAGGATATGTATCACTGACGATAGAAGGATATGAATCAGTGAAGATAGAAGGATATGTATCACTGAAGATAGCGGGAAATGTATCACTGAAGATAACAGGATATGTATCACTGAAGATAGCAGGATATGTATCACTGACGATAGAAGGATATGAATCACTGAAGATAGAAGGATATGTATCACTGAAGATAACAGGATATGTATCACTGAAGATAACCGGATATGTTTCACTGACGATAGAAGGATATGTATCACTGAAGATAGTAGGATATGTATACTGAAGATAGCAGGATATGTATATTGAAGATAACAGGATATGTATCACTGAAGATAGCAGGATATGTATCACTGAACATAGCAGGATATATTTCACTGAAGATAGCGGGATATGTATCACTGAAGATAACAAGATATGTATCACTGAATCTAGCAGGATATTTACATTGTTTCACTGAAGATAGTGTATAAATCATTTATCAGGATTCTTTAAATTAGTCAGGTTACTTTAGAAAATATTCCCTGATGAATAATTACAAGGTAAGATTACTGAACCACTGTTCCGTTATACTTTTTCGTGATATTTGCAGTGTTGACATACTGAGTACCACATCTGAAGGTGAGTTGTTTATCGTGTTGTAAGAGTGTGACCATATTTTAGATACACTGGTTCCGCACAAACCTATTAAACAGCCTGGACGCGGAGTTCTCCGATCACTCCGGCTGTAAAGCTAGTGTAAAATCTATATAGTGTCACTTATCAGTTGTAAAATTTTGTCAATAGCCTCTCGCGACACGGTATTAAAGGAAGTACGCGAGGGATTTTAGACATTGCCTACACTTCAAGAGGTTTAAAATAATACTTAGAGACCAGCATGGCGCAGAATGGGGCTAAGTGAATTAAAGCTGTCTTTTTAAGTAGTGTTTAAAAAGTTAAATCCGGAGTGACTTGGGTTAAAATAAGTATGAAATTAGTGAAATAAATATTTAGGACACAGTTCGACTTTCCTGACTGCTTACTAATTACAATATCTACCTGCCGTGTGTGCAGGGGGGCCTATCATACAAACATACTGATCTGTAGTAAAATGGCCAGCGAAACCGAACATGACGCCCCAAAAATACATTCACTACAGCCGGTTTGATAAGAACGACAAATGTTTATGTCAAAAGCAAGGGGAGAAAATTACAAGTAATAATTTGACCATTTGTACATTCTTAAAATCCCACTGCTGCCACCAAAATAATGACGAGTAGAGGCATAAATCACGCGGCGTGCCGCGCAGCTCCCTGACAGTTTGGGGGCGGGGCTTAGCTGGGAGTTATTGACGACTCCTGTCCACGCTGAACCACCCAATCGTACTCCACGTAGTCCACTGTTTACTACTCTCCTACATGTGGATGGCCCGCCTGCCACTATACAAGTGGAAATTAGCAGTTTTTGTGCATTCATTGGAAATTCTTATACCTGTCATACAGGTGCTCGCGTTCATGAGCCACTTCATATATATAGTATATACACATATCTTACCACTGCCGGATTTTACTGTATAATTATATCTGGATTTATACGTACGTACATGCTTGTGTTATAATGGATGATATGAATGAAATACAGTAATTTGCATTGCACTGCTGTGAAAAATACAGTAATTAGTATCTCAGTGAGCAATCAATTACACCGATATTGGGATTTATTTCAACAATAGTTTTTTTAATTTTTTTATTACAGAGTGTAACAAACATCGTTCTGAAAATGTGTAGCAAAAATGTCAACTTTCACTCTTATGCGTTTTCTTTACCATCGAGATGACGACTCGTTTTGAATGATTTTGAAATCAATTTTCAAGTCTGAAATACTATGGTGGAATCGGTTTCATTTTGCCTAAGAACCACGTGGAGTTGTTGTGTAAAACAAGGAATTAAATTGTACGCGTAAAACAAACAACCTATTTTTTAAGTGAACTTGTGTTGGATTTATGAGCTTTAAAGTCATGTTTCATACGGTAAATTTGACAGTGCTGTTAGGTGTACTAGTGTGCGTTGTACTATCGAGAGAGGTATCGGATGGACCGCAGAACGTCCTATTAAACGAAGCCGTCAAGACATTGCTTGGGTTCAAAGATGAGCATCCCAGGGACCAGATTTCCTCCCCTTATGGCGTAGGTCAGGAGGCTCCTAAATATATGTTGGACCTTTATGACAGATTTCGAAATTCTCAAATATCAAAAGGCCATCTCTCTGGGAACACAGTGAGGAGCATTCACGCCGAAATAGGTACGTATCAAACATAGTGTTAATTAATAAAACATAACAAGTTTGTTGATAAACCATATATATAAATTTATAAAACAGTGTAATGATTTCCAGTTATAACGTCACAAGATCACCACAGATACAATGCCACTACCATCCACAGAAATTACACCACACGAGCCTTTCTCCCAAACTGTAACAATATCAGAGGTTTTGTAACGAACAAACAGTTTTAAAAGTGAAACCACTTGCATGTCAAAATTTCACTTAACAAACTCCAGTATGTAGTAAGCATTGAGGATAAATACACGAGATTTCACGTCCCGATAAAATGAAATACGCGTTAAGGGCAATCTTCTAACATCGTAAAGTCAGTTTTAATTGACTTTCCACAGCTTTGATATCCCCAGTACCTAATCGATGATTTTACCTACAAGATGATCGATAACGCTGGGAGGGGGTCCCGCTCTACACACCAAAAGTAGTCGACAGGCAAAAGTCTGTTTCAAAAGTAAATTATTTAAACTACATAACAAAACTCGCAAGGAAATTATGACGCTAAAATTGATTCGAAATTATAAGCATAAAAAACGCATAGATGATTAGTATTTATTTAGTTGACAAGGCCTATATAAATAGAATCTGTTTCAGTAGGATTAGCGAACATGTATATGCATCCTACTAAATAAACCATCACAATAGTAACAGAAGAATACGAACAATGTTGTATAACTAGTAAAGATTGAAAACAAATTGGTTGTACTATAAAGGGCAATATAATTAACGGAATGAAAAACACGAGCAGTTCAATTTGACCTCACGTGTTGTTCATCTGTCATCGTTAGAGCCGACGTTACAGCGTCATGGTTGGTTACAACTTAAAACATCCATACCTTCATTCCAGGACAAGGAATGTTATATACAGCAAAAAATAAGCCCAATAAAAATTATATAAAGTAGGTAATTATATACAAAGGTGGCGCAGTATTAAAACGACTGTCAGGTGCTTTAGGACGAGCTATTAAAATGGTTGTTATAACTCATGCTCGGATACTACTCCCGACTTCAGGTTTATATAGAGATCATCGTGAATGTTTTACATTATTCAAAACATGTCCAGCTGGCTACAGAAATATCTGCTTTGTCCGTAGTGTATGCATGTGTGAACTTTAATACAAAAAAAATGTTTCTAAATACGAAGTATATCTTTTAACATAAGTTCTTTTAACGACACAGGGGTGAACACCGAAACAGGTTGGCATGTTATTCAAATCAACAGCTGTGTAAAAGTGAAATAAAACTGCCAGATTTTCTTTTAACGAGAGAAAGAGGAGATGATATAGTGGACGAGAACTGGTGTAAGGGCTCATCCAAGACACTGACTTGTTTACGTCCAGACTCGGACACCAGATCTAATGTCAGTCCCGCCAGACCTTACTGCATGACCACATGTGGTCAAAAGTCTGGCTACTGGTCTGTTTCGATACATGTCAGTAAGTTAAAATCAGACAGTGTTATCACAGTTGTCGTCTTAGTCCTGATGAACCCTCACAAACAACACACAGAAAATGTTAACTCATTCATAAAACTATACTGAACTGTTTTAATTACTATGAATGACGTAGCACGTTTTCGTAGTAGCGGGGCACGTTTTGAAATTAGCCGAAAAACCCCTGCCGATAACTCACTGTTTTGAGGTAGATTTCGTGCATAGATTCAGTATATTTGAAGTATTTCACCCGAACGTGCCCGTGTTAATTGTGTTCACTGAGATCACATAGCTGACGTTCATTATATAGTTGTCACTTGTCAACGGGACGAAGGTTGTTCACGAGTCATCCATTTAAAACTGTTCTCTATGCTACCCAAACCTCACGAGGCACCCACTTAAAACTGTTCTCTATGTTTCCCAAACCTCACGAGTCACCCACTTAAAACTGTTCTCTATGTTACCCAAACCTCACGAGTTACCCACATAAAACTGTTCTCTATGTTACCCAAACCTCACGAGTCATCCACTTAAAACTGTTCTCTATGTTACCCAAACCTCACGAGTAACTCACATAAAACTGTTCTCTATGTTACCCAAACCTCACGAGTCACCCACTTAAAACTTTTCTCTATGTTACCCAAACCTCACGAGTAACTCACATAAAACTGTTCTCTATGTTACCCAAACCTCACGAGTCACCCACATACAACTGTTCTCTATGCTACCCAAACCTCACGAGTCACCCACATAAAACTTTTCTCTATGCTACCCAAACCGTTACAGGCGACATGTTACAAATACATGTAGCCTGTCAGACGTGGAAATATAAAAACAAAAACTTATTGCCACAGCAATTTCATTCAAAGAATGTCCTATCTGATTTTAACTGATATCTTATGTATCGGCAACACTTAATCAGTAGTAAAAAGTTAATAGTAATATTCTGAAAGTTATTTTGAATTATCATTCCAAGGAATCTTGTAGCAGAGTTATTTACATTAAGATGTGAATGCTAAATCGTATACCAATTTCGTCCTTTATGTATTGCTGTATCATATCGTAGTACCACATTATATTGTATTGTTACATTTTATATTAAAATATACTGTCTTCGTTTTTGCTAAAGGTTAAATTCAATACTTTAAAAGTCCGATTCATGTCCATTATAAAAGGTTTACAGCTTAATATACAAAAACATACGGCTACATTTGTGTTTTTATAGATAAATATAGAAATTTATATTCACCAGTTACATATGGTAAAGCGTTGAAAGTATAAGTATTAAAACATGTCACGTGATTCGAGATGATGAGTATGATGATACTTGCCCTAACACATATGTATATCTCTGCTCAGGGATCACAGATAAGTTTAAAACATTTGTATTTATACAATTTTATTCAAAACCACTTGGTTTGTAAACGAAAAATACGTATGAACTTGGCACCCTGCTATAATGGTTGTGTTTACAAAAAAGGAGTATCGTCGGTGTCAACAGACAGCATGGCATTAACAATTGTTGAGCTGAGTATAATTATTCATATTAACCACTCTTCTGTCAATCCGGTCGTGTGATATTGAATAACTGTTATGTACCGAGGGTTATTAATACGAAAAATAATTATCTATATCACCAAGTGGACAAACCGTCCCACTGTACTGGTGTAAGCTAATCCCTAAATGCCCAAATTCATGTCAAGATTAATTTAATTCGCAAACAGACAAGACATCCGAATTTCAGTCTGTGGTAAGACTGATTTGTTTGTAGCTTTCAGATCCGTATTGACAGTGTTGACACCGTTTACAGTTGTCGAGGCTCCGTAGATATAAACATACAATAGCTATTATTTTAAAGGTTAAAATCATTTGTCTCTTTTCAAAGTTAAATGTGGAACAAATCTGTTTAAGAACGCTGGAGGTTTTGTCCGCGCTACCAGGCGACGTGCTGGAGACTTTAATAGATACGATCCGGCTAAATGTATAAATAGGTATGTATATAGGGTGGTATAACGAGAGGGAGGAGGTACCATGAATGGGCTGCCCGTGTGTCGAGTCGCGACAGTACTTACCTGCCGCCTATCTTATCTCAGCAATCGTAAAAACATTTAAACTGGAATTAACTAGACCCGATCATTTAGCTTACTGGGTTGTATACTAATACGACAAGCCGACGTCCGCACACACACTGGTTTGATGGACCAGCGTATTTTGATTTTGAATGTTTGTATCAATACGTTATGGTGTAATAACGACGAACAAACATGATCTATTTGCAATTTTCCGAATTACGAATTTAGGTCTCTATGCGAAGTCAATACACATCGGGCTTAAGTAAGCGTAATGTATACAGTTCGGGCACTTTTTCACTCGGGGGGAAAGAGGAAGGGATTTGTTCCAGCGTGCAAACTAGTCTTTTAAATCGAGCAAGTGCCATGGCATGATGCTATTTAATACCCCCATCCACTATCATAAAATTACCATATTAATGACACGGGGGATATGTGAAGAAAGTTGGTGGAGATGAGGGGGAGGGGGAGAGGGAGTGGGGGCATAATCCTAGGGAGGCGCCTTGTCGAAAGTGGCCTCTTACAACCATCCCGCTTTGCCGAACCGTTTGGCGCCAAATCTTTACAACCCATACATCTTAACATGGTGTTTACTCGTTTTATTAGGGACTATGGTCAGGAAAGCATCTTTGTATGTCAACAACGTGGCTACATAATCCTCCGGGCGAGGGCTGGGGAAGAGAGGTACCGAATGGCATGCCAATTAATAGTTTTTCTTTAGCACACAAAACTGATAAAAATGCGCGATAGAACATTCTCATGTGGATGCTAACCTGTTTTAGAAGGCACCATATGAAGTACCACGGAGTAAGGCGAAGCCATTTCGTCGTTCCCGGGGTCATTCAGTGCATTTTGTAATGGTTTGTTTAATTGTGAAAAGGCGTACATGTTAACACAGATATTCACAACAAGTGCTTCTTTTTAAAACCCGTCGATCTATAATTAAAGAATCAAACAGGTTTTATCGATCTGTTATACAGTGAGAGGTATATCTACAACGGGATGGAGGAGGAGGAGGAGAGATTGAAGGGAAACACACAAGCACACGCGATTTTTCTTTTATCCTCATACACTTTCGTATTCTAAAAACTATCGACTTTAATACGCCGTACGTGATTTGAGGGTAAGCACATTACCCACGACACTGTACGGTACCCAATGTACAATACAATGTTCAATATACCCACTGTAACAGATAGTGTGATATTGGCGCTCCTCCATACCCAACCTCACATAACATCGATGGCGACAAATTGGCATTGATTCTAGCAAACTGGCCTTTCAACACCATTATCCAGTTGAAAGCTGAAAAGGGAACTGGACAATGGTCAATTTCAGCCAACAAAAGACTGGGTTTGGGGGCCATATCCCCGACAAGCTGCCGGTATTTAGCACATTATTAACAACAGTCTTCAATGTACAATCGATAATTTAGTGATGGGTTGACCGTTCCCTCCAGGTAT